GAGAAAGTTCACTTCAAAACAATTATATAGTATTTTATTTTCAAAGAACCTTTATAATACATATTTATTTTATTCATGTGTGACAGTGTCTATGTGAGTGGGAAATAGGGAAGGATTGTTGCTTGCCCAAAAATCTCTTTCCTTATAGAGAAATCAGTAAAAATTCAATTTTCTCCTGGAAAGGCTCAGATCCTACAAAGACAAACCTGTACTTGAGAGAGCTGAATTTTGTTACTTCACATTCCCAGAGTACTAAGCATTAAGTTCCATTATTCTTTGAAAATATTCTCAGGTAAAGGCCATGGTTTGACCATAACACCTTATGCTGCTGGTCACATGATTGGTGGAACCATGTGGAAAATTGTAAAGGATGGTGAAGAGGACGTTATCTATGCTGTAGACTACAATCACAAGAAAGAAAGGTTAGTGACAGTGGTGGCACGGGTCATGTGTGATTTGCAAGACAGAGAATGTCATGGGTTGCTTGCTAATGGTTTATCTATTCAGATCATGTTGGTGAATCTGGGACAAACTTTGTTAACCCTTTGATCCCTGAGAGTGACGAGGATAGATAGGTAGGTAGGTAGGTTGGTAGGTAGGTAGGTCAGTCGGTCGGTCAGTCGGTCGGTCGATAGATAGATAGATAGAAACTTTATTAACGTGTCAAAGAACCCTCTAGTTTGGGAGATATCCCATACTAATGTGGGGACACAAATAAAAATTAATGGATAAAAATTATTTACAAAGAATATTACCTACTTAAGAATAAAATTCTTAAGTAGGTAATATCATGTATGAAAAAAAAAATTAAATGAATTAAGAAGTACATATCATGTATGAAAAAAAAAATTAAATGAATTAAGAAGTACATAGAGCACAGCCCCTGCAGCCATCATCTAATAGGGAGCTGAGGTCACGCTTATGTATGCGGTTTTTGAAACTAGCTAATGTTGTGGCTGATCTGTCGTAAGTTGTCAGTTTACTCCATAATTTAGGTCCTAAATAGCGTAGTGAATGTTTGCTGTAAGTTATTGTGTTGTATCTAGGAATGGAAAAGTGGGCCTGTCTTAAATTATGGGAAGCGTTGTGTTTCTGAAATATATCACAAACATTCAAAGGGCTAAGGTTGTGTTTAACTTTGTACATTAAAATGCATATATCCTGTAAGCATGTGTTTATTAGCAAAGGTAAATTAGCTTTCTGCAGCAAACGTTCATAGGTGGAGCATTTATCTTTGAATACAGCCCTTAGGCCTCTTTCTTGAACTCTCTCCAATCTGCGACTATCACTAGATTTACAAATATGCCATGTGAGAGTGACGAGGATCTAAATTCTCCTTACAGCATCATTCCTGAATTACATATTAGGGTAATTAACAAATGGTAAACACCACAGAGCACACTATTGAGTTATGGATGCATGTGGGAGGTTGCTAAGCACGAAAGAAGCATAATAGTCGCGTGAGGTGATAGCCGAGAGCGACTCTAGCTTCTTGAGTGCTTAGCAAACCTCCCATATGCATCCATAACTCAATAGTGTATGCTGTGGTGTTTACCATTTGTTTTATAACATAACATTGATACATTGTAGCTAAAGAGGTCCATTTTATTTAACAAATCTTACGTGACCAGAAAAACAAGCACGTGCGGAAAAATAGTCTTTGCATTTGCTCACATCAGCAGTGTACACCCATGGGTAAATAGGGACGCTAAATTGACCAATCAGAGTGCACGCTTTACTTTTGTTATGTTATAGTAAATATCATTAAAAACTGGATCATAGGATAATGCAATTCAAGACTTTTTATTGGCTTAGCCAGTATGGTATATGAGCCAATATACCATAATCTAATATCTGTACATTGTAACATCCGGTTTCTTCTTACAAAATAAGTCGAGAGGATTTGTTTGATATATAGGGGGCGTTTTTTTTAATAAAACAAGTATTCCACTCGTGCTTGTTGGATATGAGATGATTATAGCCAACTCAGCGCTTCGCGCCTCGTTGGCTATCTATCATCTCATATCCAACACAAATTCATGGAATAATTGTTAATTAGAAGAATAAAACTACAACATTTCGAAGTCGTCTTGACTACATAATCAAGTAGGGGTGTTAGTTGCAGTTTCAAGATTAAATACAAACAAAGGTGATAGAGTACATTAGAATAATAAGTGTTTCATTGTCATTAGTGTTTGACGTGTCAGACACATGTCAAACATGTCAAACACCAATGACAATGAAACACTTATTATTCTAATGTACTCTATCACCTTTTTTTTTTCTTATTTTATCTCGAAACTACAACTAACACCCCTACTTGATAATGGGTCAAGATGACTTCGAAACGTCATAGTTTTATTCCTCTAATTAACAATTATTCCACGAGCACGCGTTGGATATGAGATGATAGATAGCCAACAAGGCGCGTAGCACCGAGTTGGCTATAATCATCTCATATCCAACAAGCGCGAGTGGAATAATTGTTTTATTAAAAACG